TCATAAATAAAACTAAAGTAACTCTAAGTAGCAGTGTGTTACAACTTTATTCCTAGTTTTTGCATAGTTCCAGGATGGGAGAGAGGCTTTCTCCCCCACACCCTGTTGCCCCTTCCCCTCCTCCAGACTTATATATATTGATTTCAATATACAGATTTAACAGTGTAGATCTGCACGGACTTAACTAGAAGACAACATAACGGTGGTTAAAATAATTCGAATTATACACATTTAACAAGTGCAACTGCACGGATTTAACTTGCAGACTTAACCCAGACTTATTCATGTTGAAATATACTAGGAGTCCGTCCTGGATCCGCCTATGGTGGCATCATCGTTGATTTTTTTGGTTCCGGCTCTGCTGTCGGGTTTTTCCGGATCAGTTTCGTTACTGCCTTCATCTCCATGGCTGATTTTCTGTTTCGGGTTGCTTTCTTCACAGGACTTCTCGGATTTCGTGCAGCCGTTGCTCATCCTGAACTTGATGCAATCACGTTGCTTTCTCTGGCTTGGTGCATCTCGGGCTCGGTTCCATCGCTCGGTTCCTTCGGCTCGGCTCCATCGCTGGGTTCCTTCGGCTTGGTTCCATCGCTGGGCTCCTCAGGGGCTCGGTTCCATTGCTGGGTTCACTGGGGGCTCGGTTCCATCACTGGGCTCCTCAGGGGTTCGATTCCATCGCTGGTTCCTCCGGCTTGGCTCCATCGCTGATTTCGCCGGCTTGGTTCCTTCGCTGGGTTCCCCGTGGACCCGGGTCCCATCGCTGGTTTCTTCAGGGGCTGGGTTCCATCGCTGGGTCCCTCTGGATCGGTTCCATCGCTGGGCTCTTCCGGCTGGGTTCCATCGTTAGGCTCCCCAGGGGCCCGGTTCCATCGCTGATTTCTTCAGGGACTCATTTCCTTCGTTGGGTTCCCCAGGGATTCGGTTCCATAGCTGGTTTCTTCAGAGACTCGGTTCCATCACTGAGTTCTCCATGGGCTCGGTCCCATCGCTGGTTTCCTTCGGTTTGGTCCCGTCGTTGGGCACTTCAAGGACTCAGCTCCATCGCTGGATTCCTGTCTGGCCACCGGGTTCGCTCACTCGGTTTTTGTTCAGGTTTGACCCCATCGTTGATTTTTCAACCTGGGTAACATCGTTGGTTTTTCCGGGCATAATTCCATCGACATTCTTTTTCGGCCGATTTCCATCACTCATTCTTCCTGGCCTGGTTCCTCCAGTGCTTTTTCGAGCTTTCTCCCTTCACTGACCTCCTCTGGTTTGGTTCCATCGCTGCTTTCTTCCGGCTTGATACCGTCATTGGTTTTTTTCGGCTTTTTGTTGTTGATTTCTCCGACTTTGCTTGCATTTTTCACTAATTCTGGGCCCAGCTGTGGCTGCTTTACTGTTCTGCTCCATCGTCCATTTCTTCCGGCTCAGTTCCGTTGTTTGTTGCATTGGTCCACCTTTAATCAGTGCTTTATAGCATAAGATTATGGGTTAATTTATGGCAACTTTAAAAAAAAAAAATTATATAATAAACAGGAATTGAACAAAGAAATGCTGAATTGGAATATTTCGGTCCATTAAGCCGTATAAAAGATTTTAGTAAATTATACTAATAAATAGAAATTTGACAAAAGAACGCTAAATTGGAATGTTTCGGTCCATTAAGTCATATAAATGCTTTTGCAAAAGACTGCTTACCAACTTTTTAATAAATTATTGTAATAAGTAGAAATTTAACAAAATAACGCTGAATTGGAATGTTCCGGTCCATTAAGTTGTATAAAAGATTTTAATAAATAGAAAATTTAACAAAGGAACGCTGAATTGGAATGTTTCGGTCCATTAAGTTGTATAAAAGATTTTAATAAATAGAAAATTTAACAAAGGAACGCTGAATTGGAATGTTTCGGTCCATTAAGTCCCATATAAATGCTTTCACAAAAGATTGCTTGCTTTTTTTCTCACGTTCGCTTTTCCATTTTACACGCTACGTGTGTCACAGAGGTTACGTTGGCTTATTCAAAAATTAACGTAGGACGCTTGCATAAAAATTTTGTATATTTTCAGGACAAAGCACTCTTCGCTCCTAGCAGGCTGGGTGGAGCAGCACACTGCATTGCTGAATCGATCGGTAGCAGAAAAAGCAGCAACAAACAGAGCCTGAGATGCGCTTTTTGCAGTTGCGCATGCCTGGTGGCTATATCACGCTACGACGCACAACCGTTGTTGTTGGCCTCGGTATCGGTGTTGCTGTTGTTGGTTACATTCTTGTCAAAAGGTTTGTACCGTACCGATCATCATCATCATTATCATCATTATCATTATCATCATTATAATCATCATCATAATCATCATTATCTTCATCACAATCATCATTATCATCGTCGTCACAGTCATCATTACCATGGTCATCATCATCACCATCGTCATCATTATCATCATAGTCATCATCATTTTCATTATCATCATGATCGTCATTATTATCATCCTCACTATCATCTCAGTAAGAAATTCGTTAGATATTTATTCGTTATACAATAGCGAACTGGTTGCAGATTTTGGCGCAGTCGTGCTGCAGAACCAGAAGAGCAATGCGAACCGGTTGAAAATCTGCAAAATGGCCTTGTTGTTCCTCGAGCTGCCGACTTCATAATGTGTAAGTTGTTGAAAATTCCGAAAAACATCGAAAACCCGAAATATTTCAAAAAAAACCTTAGTTTTTCTGTAATTTTTGTTCTGGATTTGAGAAAAATTTCGATATTTTTTAGTGAGAAGTGGTAAGGCGCGTGCTGCAGCTTCCGTTGGATCGACGCCTCGAACCTCACTAAGATCTGGACACGGATCAGTTGGTGAATCGGATATAGTCATCTGTAAGTGAAATAAGATTTGGATGATCACCGTAGATTTGGTTAATCTCTGATGGGGTGCCTTAATTTGTCTTTTGAACGACGCACATGTTTTTTTTGTTAAAAATTTGATATTTTGGATTTTCTAGGCTCAGAACGGGTACAGGAAATGATTCTTTTTTTTTATTTTTTGGTTAAAAATTTGATATTTTTCGTTTTCTAGGCTTACAAAAAAAATGATTCTTTTTTTTTTTGTTAAAAATTTGATATTTTGGATTTTCTAGGCTCACAACGAGTACAGGAAATGATACAGCGACTGGAACGAGTGCTTCTTGCATTTGATATGGTAAAGAATCGATCGGAGAAAGACAGCAAACGAGCAGAATTGTTGTCCTCCGTAGTAGACAGGTTTTTTTTTCAATAAATTCTATATTTTTTGGATGTTATAAAGAAGTTCTTTGCATAAATAGGAAGAGATTGCGCGAAATTTTGGCACGCATGACCTCTGTAATTCTAAGTACTTGACCTGCTTCACTCCATTCACTAATTCCTAACACTTCTACTATATTCTAAATAATCCCACATTTTACTTTACATACCGTCCCCACTTACTAACTCCTTTTGCCCTCTTTTCCTCTTCATTAATTTACCCTTCACAAATCCCTTCCGAAAACGCTGGGGGTTGGGATCTCGAACCCAACATGCGCCATGCCTTGATGCTACTAACTCTGCTAACTGACCGCCTCGACATGACTAACCTTCTCCATCCGTTGGATAGTTTGTGCGACGTCCAGGCTCGTTCCATTGAAGGGAAGCTTTGTTAGTAAATAAAGCGCTGGCACTCTTCGCTGTCTTCCGCTGCTGCAGTCAAAGAACACGCGGAGATCTAACACCTCTTTTTTATAGTGTCACTAAATTGTTGAAGTTAAAAATTAGTAAAGTTAAGAGCAGATAATATAAAGTGAACTTCAGTTAA